AGCACGCACAGCTTCAAAAAGCTACGATTCAGGAGGACAAGCATTTCATCAGCTGATTTGCAAGCGTTTAGAACTACCTCTAAAAACAAGCAAGAGTTATATCCACAGTATTCAAGAAAGCTGCCACGACGGGAAGATGCTGTTGGAAAACTGRTATGAAAAGTATTTCAGTGTGAGGAAAAATCAACTAAAGGATAAAAAGCTAAGGGTTAATAATGAAAACAATGAAGTCATGTCAAAAAAACAGAAGGGGTCAGTGGAGAAWAAAAATGTTCACAGGTAATCTGGCAACTCAAAACTTTTAAGCTGTAAACTAAGCAGATTTAAATTCCTCTAAAGTAAACCAGATATAAGTACACTTTTATGTTAAAACTGCTCCATATTTGAAACAACAGCAGAGTTTCATCTCTCTCAAACATGAATGCAATCGTTGATGAACAGGCAGATGGGACAAGGGTGAGAAAACGAATCTAGTATTAAATAGTAACAAATACTTTAAACAGAGGCTTGAAAGTCTGTTGGTCCAGTTCCACAAGGAGTATTCCAGTCAGTTCTTAGATAGTAGAGCAACATAAAGTACTCTCTAGAACATCAAATTATTTGCTTAAAATACATATATATATACACACACGCACACATATATTACTGGGCCGCCACAATGACACCATATAGTAGATGCAATATACCTGTATTTTTCTGTTCTGAAGTTATGCATTTTAAAGCAGATATGCAACTCAAATGTTACTTAAGGAAATAATGTAATCAAGGCAGAAAGCAATCAGTATTTTATCAGGAAGAATTTGATAAAAGTCAAGAAATTCAAGAAAATAACATGTGCAATAACAAAAAAGCTAAATCTATAGAAAATGCTGAAAAAGTACAATAATTTGCCTCACAAAATCCTACAGCTGTTAGAGTGACATGTTACAGAGGCTTAAATCTACCAGTTGAGCTACCCTGAAGCCATTTTGGGAATAACTGCAGGCAGATTAATTCCCAGGCTAGGAGAATCTGGACGCTTTCAAAAAAAAATTTTTTTTAATTTAATGATAATTAGCCTATGCTTCTGCATGTGTTCTTGCCTAAAAAACTATTTGGAAGAGGGAAGAAAATCCAGTAGTAATTTTGTGTGTCAGGAAATATCACAAGTGTATGTTAATTTGTCAATGTAAGAGATTTCTTTTCAGAAGGAAAATTGTAATAAGGTCAGATAACCAACATAAATACAATTATCTCAAAAACATACGCACTAGAGAAAAATTACTTTTCTAATTCAGACATAAAAATAATTTCAAATGAATGTAGAATAAAAAACGAAATCATTGATGATTTTCCAATACACTTTTATCACACATATTTAAGTAGCAGCAATTTTAAAATACAAGATGGGGCAGTTGAAATGGATTCAATATGGCTAAATAATCAGTTCTTCATTTCTTAGAATGTCACATTCACATAAAAACTGAGGTAGAAAAATTGGTGAGAAACACTGAAAGAGTCAACGAATACAACACAACAATATTAAATTTCATTACTCTTGCTTTAAGATCACTGATTTACATTTAATGTTCTCCACAAGTTGTCAAATTGTAGGGACAGCCAAATAAAAGCAAAACAACATAATCTGATTGGAGAATAAATGAATAAATTAATTAGAATTTAAACAAAGATTTAGAAATTAATATTCTGCTACAGATTCAAAGCCTGTGAACATATCATGCTCTTTTGAAAAGAAAATCAAAACCAAAGCTCTTGGAAGGGATAACAGTGTTGTAGAGACCACCAACTTTCAGTAAAACGATTTCTCAATGAGGACATAACACTGTCCTAAAAAGAAAGATAAAATCTATGTAAGAAATGTAATCTATGTAAGAAAAGTAAATTTCATCCTACTGTATCACATTGAGTGATAGCACCAACAGAGACAACATTAAGGAAAATTAGCAGGGCTTCTGCATATAAATATATGTATATCTGTATATGAAATATATTTTCCTTACATTATGAAAACGCATTTCCTAAAATTATTTAAAAAACACCAAAAATGTGGATTGTTAGAAAATGTGCACAAGAGAAACTCAAAATGTCAAAAAAATARGTTTTAAAACCTGATGAAGCTGATGCAGATGTCTTATGCACCAAAAACTAACTTCAGAATGAATTAAAAATGAAAAATGATTACAAGTGATCTGGGTTAYTTTTCCTGTTTTCTTTCCTGTAAGAACATATGAAAAAGCTAGGATTTTTAATCATTGTTTAATAATCACTATCGTCAGAATCTACTCTGTTTTTCCTGACCTATTATAAAAAGAAAAAATACTATCTATACATATTTATAATGGAGCAAAAGATCTATAATTCTCTGCTCATAAATATCCACTCTGGATTTTTGCATCCAAAAAAAAATCTGAAATAATCTCAATTCTGTCTTCCTATATGCACTAACAGCAATGATGACAAACCRAAGATGAACAGATACAAAATCAGATAAAAAAGCATGTGGGAAACAGGTTAATATCTTTGCATGAACCATCTTTCAGTTGCTTCTTCCATTTAAGAGGATCAATAATAGTATTACTAATTTGGATTTAAAATAAACTTTGGATGATAAGTCTGCCAAGTAGCAGAGATAAGAATGTATAAGGCAGTAAGAAACATCTTTCACTATAACTTTGAGGCATTTGGCTCGTGGTTACTGCCAAAGACTGAGTAGCATCTGCTCTCACTTTAGCAGTTTATATTCCAACTCCGGTGAATGGAAGCACARTCTCTGAAACAGCCTTTGGGGAACACTACTGAGCCGCTCGATGGAGCTCTTGCTCAGAAAACAGAGGAGAATAATACCACAGAAAACTTGAAATATTATGCTCTTGAGTAAAGAGAGAATAGCAGTTTCCTAATGCCACAGGTACAGCAAATTTCTCTTTTACTAAAACATGTTAAATGTTCTTTAGAGCTGAAGTGATTAAATAGGAATAATTTTAAGGGTAGACATTAAGGCCTACTTAAGTCATTTTCAGTAAAGTGAGAAGAAACAATGTGTTTTATCTCACTAGTCAACAGGCATAACATAAAAGAGTGAGGACTCACACAACATAATTTCTTTTTCTAAGTGTGCTTAAGAAGGTCRTAGCCTCCTTGGCTTAGTCCTTTAAGCCCTGGTGTCCAGGCACAGCAACACATGGTAAGACTGAGTTTTGTCGTGATCTTACAATGTCGTTCTTTTAAGTGCCCAGTAGCACAAATGACTGCAGTTGTGTGTGGTCCTAGGCAATCAAGCAATCTGGCCACACACAGTGAAAACCAAGCTTCTAAAGCTTCTAAATCAGCTGCAGGAATTCGCTCCTCAAGAGCCATAGATCCCAGATAGCAGCCACTAGTGAACCCCACAGCCACTTTCTAAACTATAAAAGGCTTCATATAAAGCCAAAATAAAGCTCTAAAAGTGGCTGCAGGAGATCACTAGGAGTGGCTGCTCTTTTGGATTCACTGCTTTTGAGAAGTAAATCCCTGCAGCTGCTTTTAAAAGCTTTGAAAGTTTCATTTCAATTATCAAAGCCAATAAAGCTTCAAAAACAGCCATAGGGATTTGTTCCTCAGAGGAGCAAACCCCAACAGGCAATGATGAATAGTGTGGTGGGTTCTGTGGCTCTTAAAGTATGTACAGATTCCTGTAAGTCCTACACTTGTAATAAGAGCTCCAAGTTGTGCAGCAATTGTTACACACAGACAGTTCATTAAGGCTTATATGGCAAATTCATTACCGATTTCCCGTTCTTTTTAACAGTTTTACTTTTTAGAGGCATTCCTTTTKGTTTTCTTACACCTGCATAAACTACTGTGAGCATCCCACACGAGAACTTTTCCAAAGCCTTTCAGTMAAAGTTTTCTGGCTTCCTATCTCAGACAGTGGTAAACATCTCACAAAATATTGCAGGGATGTTTTTTCAGACTAAAGTCACATTTCAACATGATAACTATAGCACACAAAACAATTCATTCTTCAAAATGGCTCCAACTTAAAAGAGGATCAATTAAAATAACAAGAAAAGCTAAATAGTCAGTGAAGACCTTTGTTTTCAACTGCAACATAAAAGAGCTTCCATTATCTCAATAAACATAAAAAGAAATAATAATTCAGGAATACCTACAACCTAACTGCATTGAATTTTGGCCACATATTTTAAATTATGACAATCGATTCCCTAAAAATAAAAATTAAAAAATATAGAAACACTGAAATAAGTATAGTTCTAGAAAAACTTGCTGTATGGTTCTAAACTCTTTAGTTTTTCATCTTAAAACGTTAATGCCTTTGAAAATATTACCAAAATTATTGTAAAATGAATATATTTTGAATGAAAATATATATTAATGAGGTATGTCATATAAAGTATATTCTGAGTACACTTATTCATTCTAAATCATTAATAATTTTGACTAGTTATTTTTTTCTTCAGCAATTTTTCAACTTCCATTTTCAAATGGCAGTATAAATAAATATATCTATTTGAAAAAATGCTACAGAAAAATCACTTTAAGATGCAGGTATTAAAACCAAGTTACTAGTTCATATGGGGAAAAAATTGACAGATAACTTTAGCATTCTGTTAAATCACATTCACAGGTGTCCTCTGCGACCTGAACTACTTACTTTATCTCTCTCTTTCAATCTTCACATGTGGTAAACATGAAGGAGGATTGTAAGAAATAATTAATCTTTACAAAGAGCTTGGAGATCTTTGGATATAAAAAGAAAAGCATGGGGAAAAAAAACAAAGTGCAAGAGTATCAAAATATTATTTTGTTCCAAATTGAGATAACTAAGTTATCACAAAAGCCTTGAAAGTTTATTAATACAAGATTATGTAATACAATTATTGAAGAACCTTACTCATAACAATTGTGAACACTAAGCATATGCTGATACTCCAAACTGTGTAACTGCAAAAACAAAACAAAACAAAAACACTATCAAGAGGAAAGGCTATGTTTCTCACCCATTTCAAGTATGCGTTTATGCAGAGGTATAGCAGCAAGAAAGGGTTCATCTTTACAGGACTGTATCTGGGTTCCAACCAAGTCAGAGTTGGTAGCCATAATTCGGGCATTTTCTTCATTTAGATTAACACCAGCCATAGAGGCAACATCATTGATGTCATCATCATCTCTATAATGGAAATACAAATAAAAATAATTCTGCATGTGATATACTCATTTTATATATTAGCTGATTTTCAAAAGGTAATCATCATGCAATATGCCTGGTGGCTGGGCCAATTTGGGGCACAACGATCAAGGTCTTCACCGCCACAGAAAATATTCCAGATTCAGAAATAACTAAGTAATTCTCCAATCAAATTAAGAAATCCTCAGAGGTAGGACAATTTGTCTCCAACAGAAGGAATGACAGAGGTATCTTCTCATCTCRGACAGCATTTCCCAAGCCACTGTTTGCCCTTCAATACTCTTCCTACCTGCTCAAGAAAAGCGCTGGATTGACAACTTCCAGTTTTGGATGACAGATCACACCTATACCTGCTACGCATCTCTTATCTCCTACCTCTGTGAGGTGTGTGACTCGCAGCTGTGGAAACAACTAACTGTTTTTAGCACATTTTGTTTAGTAGACATTATTGACATGAATATTGAATTTCTGCATATTCTAAAAGTATATTACATAACCTTTTGGAATATATGTATGGAAAAGATTCATGTAGATCTAAACCCACACTCCTGCTAGTATGTAAAACAATGTAATAATAGCTTATTTAAGAGATCTTCAAAAACGTTATATGCCCTCCTATATGCCCTAGAATACTTCCTATCACTTTATAAAACATTTAAGGCCTACAGTTAAAAAAAAAAAAAAAAAAAAAAAAAGAAAGAAAGCTACAATACTACAAGTACAGTGTTGGAGCAAAAGCACAGAGATATCTCAATATCAGGAATCAAAGTCCTCCCTGTCCTCTCACGCTCTTTGACATGTGCAGCAGAACATCCTATTCTGTGGAAGATTTCTGTGGTTTGTTAGATACTGGTTTTGATTTCTTTCAAAAGAAGGGGGTTAAGAAAGGCTTTTTGTCTATAGAATTCTGGAGAAACGTGCTGAACATTTGAAGCAGAAGTCCTATGTCAATTGTCAGAAAGATTCCARTTTCCTATATAGATGAGCTTTCATTACTTTTCATGAGTGCTAGTGACTTGACTGAAGAATATAACAACAGTGGAGTCGCTTGATTTTTTTTCTAGGAATGAAGATCCCGAAGATGGTGTCACACAACTRATCTTCTACTCTGGTGGTGTTCATGCTGTGTTTAAAGTAGCTTCATATTTACACTTTACTCAGCACATAGACAATACTCTTAGGAGGGTCACATAAGCTTTCATGAGGAAACTGGGCTACTGTGTCTTCAGTTCATAGATGACCAAGCTAGCCTTTAACTTCCAACCACTTTTGAGAAGAACCCAGAATGAGAGTTGATAATATTTGGCCACACAACACTGATTTAAATAGTAACAGGTTCAAAAGAGTCTAAACACACACACATACACACAAAGGAACTTAAATAGAAAAATGAAAAATAAATAAATAATAATACTTGAAATCAACCTAGTGTCATCCCAGCTAAGCTAATGAGCAAGCATTTATAACAGTTATGTACAATTTGAATAGCACTAATGTATTATCCCTTCCCTATATCCAGATTGGGTTGCCAGGATCTGCAGATTGAGGTATTTTCATCTCCATCAAACAATCATCCATGTGAGAAACAAGATAGCACTCTTTACTCSTTCCTTTTTTTTTCCTGCAGTTTAAGCCAGAAAATCTTTCTTAATGATTTTAAAACCTAGGACAACCAACTGCACGTTTGGATAAATAAATGCATATAAACAAATGAGGATTACCAAAGTTCCCTTGAAAGCTAGAGGAATTAATAAGAACGAATGAAATGCATCTTTATAACACTAAATAATCACTAACTACACAGTCAACTGTAAAAAAGGTCAAATATCAGATATTACTCCAAATCTAGCTTACTCTATGGAGTGATTCCAACTCAACAATTGATTGCAACTTCCAAAATACCACATAATAACAAAAAAGTTCGACAGAATAAATTCCTTCCATCTTACATCAGCAATTTATTATCTGTGGGTACATCTATTTTATTTTTCCCCCTAAGTTACAGGCAAGATGGATATGAAATATTTTAAACCATAGCCAGGATTACAAATTTTCTGGTCTCATGGCAGCATCCCTATCAGCATATGCTTTTTAGCTTTGAAGAACTGCAACATGGAAAAGAGGGTGACTTTAGATACTGAAACACAGTCACAAGTTTTTATATAAAGGGTCTGGCAATCTTGCCAAACAATTTCMTATAAAAGTCAACTTTTAACTCCAGATCAGTGAGTTTTTACAAGCCATTCTATGGAACAAAGATGCCATCCAGTGGTAGGTTAGATTGATGATTACCATCCAGCTCACCCTTTTCATCCAAGCACTGTTCAAACACTTCATGTTTCTTTGTGTATATTACCATGTTCATTCTAATTACGCTGTCTCGGTAATGATTTGTTTTTATTGTATTAAGTATTAAATCTGATGGCATAAAACTAGACTTCTGAAATGCAAATTATTTACAAAAAGAGGGCATGTGTGCTCAAAATCTTTCCAAATATAAACTTCACCTTAAAATATAGTCTTAACAGTTCATTCTTCCTCCTGTACTCACCCTCTTATGCCTCCTCCCCCACCTTCTCGATTAGAACATTTACGCAACTAGAAAAAACACTTCAAAAATAACAGTCAGAAAGGAAAAAAGTGATTTGCAGTTGTCTATAACATGCCTCAAATATTTTGTTTAAAGTTATTCAAAAACTAGGAGTGCTTCCTTTATGTACACCTCTTTAGAACAAAAATATTTAAAATGTTTGCATACTACTTCCCCGCCCCCTCAATGCTCTTTTGAGATTTGAACCCATGATATTCAAACACACAACACTGAACTGCTCCCAGCTGAGCTGCAAGACTACATGCTGACAGAAAATATTATTATTTTCCATATGGGAACAGATGACATAGACTGGCATAAAACATGTTCTACCAGCAGGTTATACAAAGGAGACAGCATTACACTCTGGATTCCCCTTCCTCTGAAAGGTGAACTTTCAATTTATTATGGCCAAGTCACTGCACATATGCAAGGCACTAGCAAGCTTATGAATACTGTGGATCACAGGATCAGAGATCAAATACAGTATTTTGGATATAAACTGTCACTTGAAATTACTCTAATAGTCAAAGCAGCATTATATCAATTACGTAAATTTATTAGAACATTTATTCCTACTTTCCAAGGTTTAGTTTGAAAATTTCCCCGCATACTGCTTTTTCACAATTCATTCATGAAATCTACGTTGAATCATAGCACTATTAAAGATCAGCAAAGAAGAGATGACTGAAGACACCACCACATTTGTGTTTAACAATTTTCTTTATTTTGAAAAACATGGAAGAAATTCATGTTTATTCTCATATTCTAATGTATCTGTTTGGAAAACAAAACAAAAGCTGTAATTTAAAGCTTAAGGTTTAAAATCATATACAATTTTGAGATTAAAACTTCAAAGTTATCCATTTAACAGTTACATCAGCTTTCTATCTTTCCCAAAAGGACAGGGTATTATACATGATATTAACATGTARGAGTTTTTGCAAGTTTTATGCTATATGCAAGTTTTTGCAAGAATTATGCTATAAATCCTCTATATTAAAAAAACAAATGAATAAAAGATGGCAAATTCAGAATGCATGTCTTCTAGCTAGTCTAGCGTAAAATTCTGAAAATAGAAAAACAGTTAATTGTTGTTTGCTCCCAGGTAAGCTCTACTTTAAAATGTTGCATGTCAGCAGCATAGGATATGAATATTAAAATAATCTTCAAATAATCTCAATCACTCACTTCATAGACCGCATTTCTGCAAAAATCCCCATCACACTGGCTGTATATGACTTGACAGACTTCAAGCAGTTACACATACACCTTTGAAATACTGCTTCAGAATAGGAAAGTCCCAATGAAAAGACAGGAGCATCTGGCTAGCTGCTACACTGTGAAACATATCATCATCACACACATTAAGAGGGTGGTTTTGTCCACTTCTCACCCCAATTTACACATCTACAGGCAATGTTACTCGGTCTTAAAGTGGTGAGAGCCTAAATGTATCTATCTTGGAGAGAATCAAAGCTGGATAAGTCCTTGTCTAACAAGACCTGCTCTAGTTTGGAAAATGGTCTAGATAATCTCCCAAGTCCCCTTCCAACTGAAATTACGCTATGACTGTATAAGGAGGGAACTTCCTCAGATAGGCCACAATCTGAATCATCACAGACAATACTGTGAGTCTGACATTCTCCATGTAGTCAATGACAAATCATACTAGTGGGAGCTCTGAGGTTTCTCAATTAGATGGTGATAATACAACAGTTACCACCAAATGCCCTCAACTCTTAGCAGACTTTAAGGGCATTCTCTTACACCTCTCTTTGCTACAGGTAGCCTCAGGTGGACTATACTGTTAATAATGTGGTGCAAATAGAAGTCTAGATCTCTACTGTAAAACAAAAATATTAGAAAGCATGGAAATCAATTTCCATCTTTAGGCATCAACATAGTTGAAAGGTCAGCTAAACTGCATTTGCCTGCAGTGTCCTCTAAAAAAAATAGCTACATGAAATTTGAATCCCAAAGTAAAGTTTCAGGAAAACATCATTTTATGTTGTAGAAGTGTCAAGGTTCAAAACTCTATGTCATAATATCCTGTGAACCCAGGTACTTCAGTAGGCAGTCTTGTACTTCAGTAATTAAGGCTGACATTAAAGGCTAGACTACTATTTGCAAAACCTTACTGCTACAGTTCTCTCATGTGACTCTCTCCTGTGTTTCCCATAGCCCAAAAGAATACCACAGATTTAAGAATGTGTATTACTAGGAGGGGGAAAAAAGAAAAAAAAAAAAAAAAAAAAAAGAAGGGAAAAAAAAAGGAAAGAAAAATATGTTTTTCCATTTCTTGCAACCAACACTTTGTCCACAAGAGTGAAAAAGCTAAAGTCAGTTATTTTAAAGAAAGTAGAGTATAAAAATAATGAAACAAATATGCAATAATAAAACACTAAGGGCAAAATAAATTTATAAACAACACAACTATTTTTCAAAATTCTTGCTTTGCTTTAGATGCCAGTTTGCCTTCTGGCTAAAAACACATTCTTCACACACGCTGGGAATGTTGAGGAAAACTAGTCAGCATTCAGAGGATTAATACAGATTTCCAGCTCTCTGCCTTTAGGCTTAATAGTCAGACATCTATTTGTCCTCAGGAGAGGTTAGGGGTTGAAATGCAAATATGCAAACAACTGAATTCTTTGTTAAGATATCAAGAAAAGCTTGATCTTTTTGCTGTTTAATAAATCCTTGCAATTTTATGGACTTATTTAAATGCAGCATTGTGTCCTACTATTTTGAAGGAGAAAACAATGCAAGGAAACAAACACATTCATTCTGACGAAAATTTGTTCTCTAGAGGAAAAATGACATACACCCTTGACAGCTTATTTACCAAACTCACTAAAGATTTATTGATTTATCAATCAGTGCCTTGAGCATTTGCTTCTCCCCAAGGGAAAATTAACAATTCCAACTAACCTAATATATTCTATGTATAAACTAAGTGAATGCAAGAATCAATCCTGGCACAGTTTACAACATCCAGTTAGAAAAAAAAAAAATCTGTCCCTTTTGGTGTATGTAAAATTGAAAGCTATACTAACGAAGAATAAATGCTCATGTTGCTTACAAACATAAAAAATACTTATTAAGACAGTACAATTGAACCCAACAGACATTTTAAATCATTTAAACGCTCAGTGGGAGGCAAAAGCATTGGAAAATAAAAAATTGAATGATTTGGCTTCTAGATTAATACTAAGTACTGCCCCTATTAGTTGCAATACTGACATGCCTTGAAGCAAATATATCGCACAAAGAACAAAAAATTCTGTTCTACTTCACCTGCAGAAGTTTAAGCCTGTCAATTAATTACCAGTTTGATGAGGTCAGAGCAACAAGATTTCTAGAAGAAGATGAAAAATCTAGAAATGTATTGTCATTTAACAAAGTAGTAACAGGAGGAAAATTCTTAAACACAAATACAATGTACCTGCATCACATGCTTACACTTCCCACCTTCAAGGAAGGAAGTGTAAAGGAAGATAGGAAAAAGAAGATGTAGTAAATATAGATTTTCACTAGAAATAGCAAAAATATTCAAAACATGTGAAAAATAATGTTAGTAAAGGTTCTATTGTGACTGCAATAGAACTGGATACAGCAGCTCAATACATCGATGCTACTGGGTTGAACCCTTGCAACGCTTGTCTACTGCAGAAACTCAAAGACAGCCCCAATCTCTGCTGCCTAAGTAAGCCCACAAAGAACAGATAAAAACAATGGAGTCTCTCTTAGTCTCTCTAAAAATAAGGAAAAATACAAAATACTCACCATGAAAAGTGTATTTTCCCTAAGTTAGTGAGGGGATAGCTGCAGCTTTGGTACAGAAGCCTATCTTTGAAGTCTGCCCTATCATCACAACTAGTGATAGCAAGATAGGTCCCATAAGAAGGTTAATATCAGATACATAAAAACATCTATGTATTTATTAAAGCTTAATATATGTAATTTCATGTACCAGAAGCTTCATTAGATTCCACAGAAGTGAAAGCTTTACTAAACATTTAAAACTGCAAGTAGAGAAAAATTTTCAAGAAAAATCCCYCCTCCTTTCATTTAATACAACCAAATTAGAAAATTGTTATCCAATCAAAGTGAGAAAAGCTAGGAAATATTGTAAAATACTGCCCTCTGGTGTTAAGCCTACTCTAAGTTCTATTTTATATTTAAGACCTCCTTCTCCCCATCCCTCTGTCTTTTTTTTTTTTTTTTTTTACCTGAAAGAACCACCTCCAGGGTCATTCAGCTTGTTTTTCTGATTTGCAGAGACCTGAACACCGAAGCCCCCAGGACTTTTGCTGGCTTGGATTGTTGGTGCCTTCCCTACTGTGCCTGAAAAAACACCAAGCAATGTTATTATGAGCTGTCTTATACAATTTACATCAAAGAACCTTCTGTCCAGGAACTAAATTCAACTGTCTGTAAATTGCAAACAAAAGGAAGTTATTATTTTTAAAGATCACACTGCTGAAGAACAATTTAAAACATGAAATTTGTACTAACATTAGTTTGTTCACTGTTTACAAAGTACAGAAGATTCTAAAACTGAAAACCAATGGTCATAGTTGGTTACAAYGCACATAAGAGTTATAAATGTGTTTGTAATGGCCAGTAAACTCCTCCTCTAGGTAATCTGGACAGCAAAAAGAAACAGAATTTGAACTGCTCTTAATACAGATGTTCTAAGTCGCTCAAGGTACTATGGTAATAATTGTCTTTACATCTTCTTACATGTTCCTTTACTGTTCACTATCACAATGAAAAGTGGGCATTTTCAGAATTTATAGTAGTAGTACTTTTAATAATATTTACTGTTCTATAATATATATAAAGGAGTATATCTCATTGCAAAATGTAAAATAAACACCTCAACTTCTTGTTCAAAAAGTAATCTATGTCTGTATGTAAACTTCGCAAGTTATACGCATAAGTAAAACCTGAAATTTCTAAATGGGTCAAAATGGACCTAGAGAAACAGGCCAAAATGTGAAATATTTACTTGAAATTTAGAATCTGCTAAGTTTCGAGGTCTATTTCCACATAGGTTAAACAGCTGCAGTGAATGCTCTCGTTAATAACTTCACCCTTTGGCTCATTTCCATCCGTAAGATGCAATTAACAGAATTATTGTACTGATAACTGCTTTGATAAAGAAGTGTGAATTTTTCCTGAAATAATTATATTACTTTCCCTAGTGCGAATAGCTATATCAGTATATAAGTCCTTAGAGCCTGCCTACATCAATACTACTGTTTTAAAAAGTTTTGCAATTTGTTCATACAGATGAATTATTATTAATGTTAAAAAGCATTACAACAGGATTGTCTCCTGTTTGAGAGGAGAAACATACCATTCTGTGGCAGCCAGCTCAATTCTGGCCTAACGAAGAACTAACCAACCACCCTAAGGTTAACGGGTTTAGCAACAAAAAGAAACAAATATTTATTAGAAAGTAAGAAGGCTTCAAGAACTCTCTTGATCCAAATATCCATTTTTGCATCCTTAAGAGAGGGATGTAGCAGTCACACATCAATCCACCTAAGCATGGGAAAAATGCATGCATCACATAGAAAGCTCTTGACTCTCTGGATAGTCCTGGCATGTCACGTTGCTTCACTCAGTCTCTGACATGGCTAAAGAGTAAATCAACATAGTGACARCAAAATGGCATGTGGGTTCAAAAGTTTCTCTAGGGATCCTACCTTGACCTCTGTCAATGGAGARAGAGTGACCATCATATGTCCAGTCTCAGGGATAAGAGCTAAATCAGAATGATTAAATTGAGATACTCTTGAGGCTTCACCAAAAAATGAAGAGTTTATTTCTTGGTTCAGAGTTACAAGTTTTAAATAGAAAGAGTCAAGTTCCTGACTTCTATCAGGACCTTCCATAAAAGACTGCTGAACAAGGAAGTAAASTTGTGAGAATTTTGCCACAAGTAGTTTCAAAAGCTAAATGTGTCAGTCCAAAATATAGCAAAATTGCATAACCAAGATATGCATTGTCAGCCAGTAAGTAAAAATAAATGTCAAGCCTGCCAATGATGTAAGATCTTCCCCCATGCTACCGGTTTTCAATTACAATAAAATTCATGCAAAGGTAACAATCTCACTAAAATACTTAAACCCATACCTGGTGGTCTAATGGTCTGAGTTATTACCACTGGCATCCTAATCTGGGTAGTCTGGCAAGCAGGGTTTCGTTTCACAGTTTGAGCAGATGTTGACTGGATAATCTGCTATTATTAAAAAAAAAAGTATACTCATTATATTCTTTATACACAAACACATACAATGTAAATATACTAATATCTRTAATTACTGATATAAGCACAATCAGCTAGCGACAAAAGTCATGTTTAATGTATGTGTTTCTGTGTGTATATATACTTTTTTTGCTATACTGTTAAAAAATGTATTTGACACAAATGTCATATGTCACAATCTGAATCAAAAAATATATTTCAAAGAAGTGAAGTAAATCTTCAAGCATAGACTCTTGTCTCCAGAAATTTTATTAGGAAGCAAAACAATCTTGTAGAAGAAGATGTTGCAGTAATTTTAATGGTATCCACCCACAATTGTTAGGCCTTTCATTATATCTTATGTTTATGACTTTAAAGAAAATAAACAGTAAAAGTAAATTCCAAAATACTACATCTTTCCAAGTCAGGTACACACAAAATGGAAAACAGAATGTTTTGTGGTGGCTATATATTGTTTATCTTTTAAATGTGATTTGGGTATTTTCAGGGCTTCACTTTATACTGAACCAAATTCTGAGCCCCTTATTCAAAACTGAAACTGAGTAAGAAACTCTGAACTTGACCCATCAATTAAATCAAACAGATAAAACCTGGAAGAATCTAAGTGATGTCTAAGTGATCGCAAAATATATGTTCAAGATATAAGGAACAAGGTAGGTAGAGACGTAATGAACATAATATTCAAAAAGACATGTGGACCTTGGAAAGATAAAAAAAATTAATCCAAGAATAAACTTTAAAAACAGAATACAAAAAAAAATTGCTAAAAATAAGTATAGAAATCAAGAAAGTGGATACAAATTTACTCCATTAAACCTCAACATATCCAAAAAGGCTGAAACTGAAGAAAAAGRTAAACTATAAATCAACTCAGAGCAACACTTTACACAAAGATTTCTGTTTCTAAATAGTTCCAAAGTTCTTTCAACACAGTCTGTCATCTTCAAATCTGGAAAAGGGAAGCTGTTTTCGGTATTTCCCTCACTGAGGACAGCAAGCATAACACTCAAGCAAAAATATCAAAGACACAGAAAACCTAAAAGATTTAATATGATATAGCCATTGCCTGGAATAATRAGTCTGCAAAATAGCAAAATTACAAACAAAACTATGATCAAGACAAYGATAGGTCAGCAAATGATACTGTCATTGATTGGTGTGAATCTTCTATCATATTATTATGGAAAAAAAAGAAAAAAAGAAAAAATCTACCTGTGAACATGGACCAAAAATTAACTATAMAAAATTACCTATAAAACGACTAGAGGACAAAAGTTGAGAGAAAAAAAAACAAAAACAAAACAAACAAAAAAAATGCCAAAGCACATAAAACAGATCCAAACATAGAGTTTGATAACTTCTGTTCTTTTGTTCCTGCCTCAAATGTGAGGTGACAAATAAAAACATATAAAAACAAAAGGTGGTACTTATAAATGATGAAAAAAATCATTTAAGAAAATTAGGTTAGAGCTCACTACCAAGAATTTTCAAATCTCAGCAATCTAGGTGCTCCTCTGMCAATGCAGATGCACAGGACGACAATAATATGCTTCCTCTTCCTTGACAAGGACTGAGAATTACCCTGGCTATTTACAAAAACATACTTTGCAGCAGAAGCAGCTCATCCAAAAGCTTGAACACTTGAACTAATGAACCACATTTTACATATACATACCAAACACAGCAATAAAAGCAAAAAAAAAAAAAAAAAAAAAAAAAAAAAGAAAAAAAAGCCACCCCATGGAAACTTTTCCTTTTCCTTTTCCTTTTCCTTTTCCTTTTCCTTTTCCTTTTCCTTTTCCTNAAAAAAAAAAAAAAAAAAAAAAAAAAAAAAAAAAAAAGCATAGGAAATGGAAGCTGCTGTAAATGATTGAAACTAAAAACAAATTGGAAAATGTATCCTGCCCTTAGTATTCTTTCCTCTAATTGAGGTTTAAAATGTGGAGGGAAAAAGCAAACAAGCCACTTAACTTCTAAATGTACAAAATTCAAAATGGCTATGGTCTGATATGACATTTATCTTCACTCATGAGTAAACACTTGCTAACTCACTTGTGGCTATGCCACTTGTGATTTATCAGTCTACTCACTCCTGAAGATAAATGTCATATCAAACCTCAGCTATCATGTAATCTGGCAGCATTAACTTACAATGTTCATCCTTTTATAGGCCGAGAATTCCTATTTGCCATTATTTACCATGCTGCAATGGTAACAATTGCAATGTTTAACCAATGCCTAAAAATTAGGCATGGGAAGCTATTTTTTCTCTCCCAATGCAAGAAACAAACATTTTTTTTAAACAAGCATATAACCTTTTATGCTACTTTGACCATAATACCATTACATTGAGTGTATATATATATTTCCAAAGAAACTATGAAGATAAAACAAAAGCCATTGGATTATTTGCCCTGCTTCCCAAATTATTACTCGTTATTTCGCATAGTATTTTATCTAGGGGAATTTTTTAAATTTCCAATGAGAGCTCTCTTGCCACTCACTTTGGGGTCTGAGGTACCATTTAATAATCTACTTTACTGTAAGGAAATTTTGCCTTATGTTCAGCCTAAATTCTTTTTTGCTTCATTTTATACCATTATTTATATCTATACTCCTTAGATCAACTGAAAGAATTCATTGTTACACTTTAACGTTTAAACCTTYGAATATTTTTAAATGTTACGTTCCCCTTTATTTAGTGTTTGACCAATCATTTCTGTGAGTCTCTAACATGTGTGCAAACTACAGTAGTTGAATGGCAGTAAAGGTCTCAGCAGAGGATTAAAAAATGAAATAGAGGAACCCCATACAGCATGATGCTGATTCTGCAGTTTCATCTTATTTCCAGATTCCATTAATCGGCATCACCTTTTCAGGACCCCCCACAAATGACAGTCAACCACAATGACAGTCTCAGGAAAAATGTCAAAACATGTTTTGGCAAAAAGTATTATAATAGGACTTAGAAAATGTCTAAATATCCCCTCCTGTCAACATGCACAGTTTTCTTCAGCAAATGATGCTGAAAAAATGTATCTTTCCTAATCCTAGTCCTGAGCAACTCTTAGCTTTTGGTATATCTGAATTTGTTTTATTTAAGGTGAACTACTTGAAATCTAACTTTCTAACTATTTATCATTTACATTTAATAATTAGCCAGAAGCTCTTTCTTATTACAGCATGTTGACAACATAATACTTATAGTGCAAGTCAATCATCCCTACTCAATCTCCTTACAATGTCAACAAATTTTAAAATATATATATATATAGTGTTGATAGAAAATTTGTCTCCTGTAACACTCAATCTTGTCCCTAAGAAAGAATATTTAGATGAATTGTGGACATTGCACATGGACCAATTACAGAAATTGATTTCTGGCTAAGCTCATTAAAATCTCATCAATAAAATATTAGTCAAAGTTTCACCCACATTTCTAACTAATATTAGTTAGCACTGCTAACAACACTGTCCAGCTCTCACACAGCATAGCTTTTCTCCAGGCTTAGAACGTGGATTCCAACATATTTCACAAGACAGATAAATAGTCACCTCTGATCTCCTTTAGTACTGCACATTTCAATGCTGAAATCTCCTTTCTGTAAATCTACACCACAAAACAGGACAGGGCACAGAGGACTCCTAAGATGCTAAGATATAAGCCTCCTAAATTGCCCACAATGTAACTGGAAGAAAAAAAAAATACATTATAATTGCTAAAATATAAGTGAATGAGGCCTATGGACAAAATCTGGAGGCAAAGGCAATGTGAGCTCTTCACTGTCTTGCAGAAATTTGGACCTCCTGTATGTAGCAAAGCAGTCAGCAGTAGCTCACAGATCTCAGCCCCCTGCAAAGTTGCACGGCCATGCTGTCTATCACTAATTTCTATCTAGATGATCAGCAAACGGACTTTGTCACTGATAAACAACACAAGACTCAACTCTGCTAAAAAACTTAATACACTCACACTGTAAGTGTTTTTCTGGAAATAAGAAAATTGCTTTCCTATCATTTTGATTTTTTCCTCTCTTTAACAGTAGTATTTTACTASAGCATATTAAAATAACTTCAGAATGAGCCCTCCCAAAACACTAGAAGATGGGCCTACTTTATCTTCTTCTTAATGTAGAAGGGCATTTTCACCGACTTCAGTAAGAGCAGTATTTGCCTAAACATAACAGTTTTTAAAAGCCACCATTCTGAACAATGTGATTCAGAATAGTGTAATTTGAGATGCTCTCAATGTCCATATTCTGGATTAAATACATGCAATGACATAGATTAATATGACAACTTTCCGAAAGTGTTGTGGATTCCCTCTKTAAAACAGAAAAGTGAAAAGAAATGAAGAGCTAACAAGTTCTCCAGATTAAAAAGACTACTGTAAACTGGCCAGCTTGAAAAGATATATATTGCAAAGTAGGCTTGCCCTTCTGCAGTTGGACAGTTTGCAAAGCCAGCTGGAATTCTCTCCAGGGAGCTTCACGCTTGGGGAATCTGGAGCTCAGCCAGGTTCCTCCATCAGTGCTGGCCACCCTTAGGCAAGGCAGCTGTAATCTTCCTCTCCCAGACAAGATCGGGCAAGATGGCCAGCAGCTTCTTGTGCGCTCTGAATTTGGGGAGCACCAATAAGTGTGAAGACTGTGATTGTTGTCACCAYAAGAAAGTCAATATTCACAAGCAATTACTACTGCAATATGGACGCTGCTTTGGAGTTTGCACAACATGCGACGTAACTGCTCTTGGGAGTTATCAGATTGTTTGTACAACTCTTAGAACACTAACTTTGTCTGTATAGAACCAACTCAAAAATCATTAAAAACTGCTTTGTTAATATGCTTGATTCTACTAGTCACATTTTCAATAAATTAAAAACAAATGCAGACAGCCTGTTTTACAACAAAACCAATGAGTTTTTATCTTTTATGCATTTATGCAACTCTTCACATTGTTGGTTTTTACTCATTAGTCATGAGTGCTTGCTTTTCATATGTATTGGCATGTGCGAGAAAAACAATTTAAAAAAGGTATATTAAGGTAAAGATATCTCAATACAAATCTGGCTTCTCCAGAAAACATTCCATAAGACTACAATCACAAGATAAAATTTCTTGTTAGATTTATTAATTTATTAATCTTATTAGATTTATCATGACATTTTTGTTCTACCTCACCATTTCTGAAAAGCTGGGGTGCAACTTATTTGGTAGTTATGAAAGTGTTCCCTGGTAGTAGCTCAGTTCTAGGACTGTGAAGATTCCAGATCAAGCTGAAATTACTGACCATAAATGTTCATACTTGTAAGAAATTAGCTAGCTGCTGACAGAAATTTAGTTTCCCAAGGCAGTATTTTTTACACCTACTGTCAGTAATTACAACCAGTTCCTGTTCCCCTACCTTGAAGAAACAAGCTATTGCCAATTCAGTGTGACATAAAATTAGAAGAATTGAAAAGGAGTCGCAAAAAGGTCAGAGGTTGTATTTAAGTAATACAACATTCTAGAATGGATAGGGRAAACCCTTATTAAAAGGATTCAGATAGCTGGACAGAAAAACAAAAGCAGTCAAGTTCAGGTGCAAGATCAATTCCACATGTATCCTGTGTGTATTGTAAAAGTCAGTCAGGTGTTCAAAAAGATATTCTTATACCTTAAGACCACATAAGTCTTATACCTAAGACTTAAGAAGACAAAGATGTTCTTATACCTTAAAACTATGCTCACTAAAGGCTCTTAAAACTATATTCACTTTATTTTAAATGTAGTAATTTAACTGCTAGAAAGCATTTGTATAGTTCAAATGACCCAAGAGTCAATTTTTAAACTGGGTAGTGTTACATTTAAATTAAAGCAAAACAAACATACTCTCCACACATACTACAAATTTACTTCTTCCGTAGAACCTATAAATTCAAGGAAAGATCAATGTAATGTATTATCGTGTTATATCTGCTTTTCAAAATCCTGATAATATTCATTTTTATTAACTCAATAAACCTTTCTCAACCTTGCCAAGTTGCATCTGAAGCCCAAGTCAAGTACCTTATTCACACATACACGAAAGCCACAGACAAAGAAAGTCTRTAACACTTTTCTAAGGTAACTGTATAAACATACAACCTCTGYGGAGGTTGTATACAACCTCGCACACTCCCATACAACAGTGGGATAAATTTATCATCACTTATCAGGGAGTATATCATTACACAGTTACTATATTACTAACGCTAGGAAACCAATGAGTTTAAGCACATAACACAGTACAATGATCGGTTACTGTACTTCAGAAAAAAAGACCAAGAGTTTACAAAGCCCTCTTCAACTTAATAGATGTTAATATTATTTAGATTAATGAGACTAACAATATATAAAGTTTACACTTGTATGTAAGCCTCCATAAAAGGAGATGCTATCATATATCACAGAAAATGAAACAAAACAAAAGTATTTTTCCTAAACCACTTGAAATAAAAATAAGAATATTCAACCTGTTTAAAAAAATATTTTCATGCTGTAGTACCTACCAGTTGAGAACTTTGATTTGACTGTACCACCTTAACCTGAGGAGGCTGCACTGTATTTGACACAGAGACCGTGCAAATGTTGTTTGGTTGCCTTATTCCTATTGTCTGCGTTGTGACAACAGCGGAAATACTTCCAGAGGCRGATTGAGGTAAAATCTGTGATAGCTTCGTTTGTTGAAGTGACTGCTGAGACGGCTGTCCTTGCAAAACTGAATGTTGACTATTCAGTAAAGATTGTCTCAATGCAGGTAGACTTTTCTAAACACAGAAGAAAGTTAATGAAATATCAATATCCAAGTTGTCCAAGAACAAATAAAAMACTTTTAAAATTTGCTATAAACATACATATAGCTCGCACTTCAATTATGCAATCTGCCTATTCCTCAGAAATAAATCAGATCAAGTATATTTCATAAGAGGAAAAGTTCAGCTTAAATTTTGAGTAGACTTTCATTTTGAATTTAGCAATTCCAAAGATTTTGATGTGTCCTAATCCCTCCTCAACTATCTAGAACTTGCAGAAAGGGGAAAAAAAAAAAAAAGAAATAAGAAAAGCAGGACAGTAGGAACAACTCTATTTCCATTGCATGCTAGAAGTGGTAAGTTGCACCAATTTACTTATCCTGACATGCCTCCAGTACCTAGAACAAGATGATTTAAYTGTTAGTGCCCTACAGCAATAGTTGTTTACTCTAATATTACTGATCTAATGTATTCTGACTGGATTAGAAAAGGGTACTATTGTATGCTTCGTGTTCAGGCCAGTTCAACCAAAAAATACAGTTCTAAAAGAATATCTTGTATCTTTATGAACAAACTTTTTAGTTTTTAAGTGGTAGCAGTGTTCTTTGAAGTGTTCCCCCAAGGCAGCTGGAGAATTCAACAGTGCTTAACCCAAGCTACAGTCCCTCCTAAACTTCTACTGTTTATTTAAAAACATAGTGACTGCTGCCAAGAAAGGATTTCAAAGAAGGGAAACAAGTTAAAACTTATCAAGAAAGAAGCAGCTCCAAAATAGGAGCAGAAAGGGACACAAGTAAGGGTTAAGGATATCTTACAAATCTACTATCCCAAAGAAGTAAATGCATTATATGAGTAAAGGTTTCATTATACAACATTTAACACTAAGTAACTAAGTAACACATAATTTCCAAATTATCCAAAACCAGCTTTTTTACTTAAAGTTTGTGACTAACGTGTTCTATAGCAGGGCTACTCAAGAATAACTCCAGTTCCTCAATGCTAAACCAGGGTCCCAAGGATGAGGCATCCCTGCCAGAGGACACCCCCCTTTCCAGCGCTCTGCATCCTGGCCCCAGGCAGCCGGCAGCCCAGCGCCAYGGTATCCAGCCAGCAGCCCTGCTCTAGGCAGGCCAAGCTAAGGCCATTCAGAAGGACATTCTAAAACTTCAAGTGTTGACATCTGCCTTGACATAAATTTATCTAAACAATGTTTATGTTACCTTAAGGAAAGGTACAAGGTATGGCTGAGGAGATGATTTGAGCTCTGATTGAAGGCGACCTGTAAATTCTTCTGGATCAATCTTTGCATCCTTGATTGGAGGAAAACCCATAACAACAGCATTCAGTTTGTTGGTTGTTTCCAGATGATAATGAGATCATCCACAACTGGTAAGCTCACATTGTAGAAACATGCACAGTTCCCATATATAAGCATATGTACACACACAGAGATATATTGCTAGCTAGGCTACCAGATTAAAAGAACATTTAAAATTTAAGTAACTCAACTCAGTATCACAGAATGGTTGTGGTTGAAAGGGCCCTCTAGAGTTCATCTAGTCCAAACTCCCWGCTCCAGCAGGGACACCCAGAGCACGCAGCACCTGGTCGCATCCAGGCAGGTTTTGCACATCTCCAAAGSAGGAGACTCCACAATCTCCCTGGGCAGCCTGTTCCAGGGCTCTGTACCCTCACAGGAAAGAGGTTCTTCCTCCTATGCAGATGAAGCCTCCTGTGTTACAGTTTGTACCCTTGGGCATGTCCTTCCTAGCCCTATGCCCCATGTCGTTCTAGCCTTTCTCTCTATCACCCTAAACTTAGCTCTAATCCTAAACCTGAGTTCATCAGGTCTAGTGCCAAAAAGTCTTTGTCCAAATGCATCCTTAGGAATCTTTATTTTGTAGTACTATAAAACCTTATATTTTATAGTATTTGTCTACATAAGCATGATCAAAATATAATCCAATAAAAATATTTTTCATAAACGCCTACTAAATAATTTATTGGATTTCCTTCTCCAAAATATATGAAAGCCTAATCTAACAGATTCATGAGTATGTGTAATGCACAGAATATTTGCATTTTGATGCAGTCCCTCTCCTTTTGCTATCACTATATCAAAAAAGTGGGAGGTACAATCAAATCAGTAATTTTCGGCATGTATAAACATACATAATACATGAACCTGACTTAATCAGAGATAACTAATAACTAAATATTTACCAACAAATCCTGAACCAGAGCTTTCACATTACGGGATGTTTCTGGAGAAGGTGAATTATGAGAAGCAAGTTTTATAAGGGTAGCCAAAAAGTTTTTGCATTTTTTCACATTCTCTTGCATTTCCTGCAAAAGCCAAACAAAAGCAAACAAACAAGTCGGTGCATGCTCAAATCACAATTCACTGCATTTACTAATCACTATAAATGAAGAAAATGCAGAATTGCTTCTACATCAAGACATTTGAAACACATCTGCAATTATTTAACTATCATTGCTAGTTTTCTAACAGTTTCTTCACTTCATGTAACTAAGTATCGTACCTTTTGGCTAATACTAAAAATCAATTTTATAATGATTGGTTCAAGATGTTTGTACAAATCAGCTACAACAGTAAAATTGGATTAGAAATAGTTTGCAAACACCATCATACCTAATCTTCATCTAATCATATCTTCATCAACATAAATACAGATGTTCTAATTTTTTCAGCCATCATTTTCATACAGTGTAATTTTGGCTTATTCTGAGAACCAGAAATGTTATACTTCAGAGTACTAACAGTTTTGAGGCCCAGTAATGTAATAACAAACTCCACAAACTAACCGTCTCTTGCTACAGGAGTTCTCTCACTATTGAGATGTATGCAGCAGGACAGGGAAAGCAAGCTGACTATTATCATCTCTCTTAGAACATATATTCCATTCAGTTAAGATAAAAAGGAGGCTTTCTAGTTTGTAAGGAAAAAATGCTCTGTTTCTGAACCAATCTAAAAATTTTACACAACACAAAAAAAAGATGTATAGCTAAAATACAGATTCTTACCTGTGATACTACTGTAGTTCCGGGTACAGGAGAGCTTGGTATGACCTGGGGCTGTGCTGGTACTTGTGCTGTTGTATGAGGTGGAAGCGGCAGCCGAGGTTGACCCTGGGTTTGTGCTGAGGCTTGAGTCTGTCCACCAGCAACTACTGTGGGTTGTTGAGAAGCTGAAGTTCCAGTTGCTACTGTTGTCTTGAATAAACCTTGAGCATTTGTTGCAGCTACTGATACCTATTGATATTTTGGATTAAAAAAAAAAAAAAAAAAAAAAACCTTCTATTAACCACAAACTTCATAGAAGTCCAGTAAGAAAAACTCATTTCCTTTCAAATATATCTCTGCTGACAAAATAAAACTACTGATTTTACTTACTTGCTTTAACTCTATTTTTGTCACCCTTTAACCATGCTGAACCATAAAAGTTCTCATTAAAATTTAACACAAAAATRAATAGACCACTAGAAATGAATTGCTATAATCGAGTCCTTTAATATCACACCTAGCCCAGTCACACATGGAGGCTGTGTTGCTCCCTCCTCAATTTTCCAAGGCTCAGAGCTTATTAGGGTGCAGAAATACCACACACACAATCCAATGCAGGGCTCACATTTTGCCTGACCTGATGTGCTGCATTTCAAAATACCACAAAGTCTAAAGCAGGCATAGCAAACAACACTTCACACAGTGCAGAGTTCAACCAGTCAGAGAGCATGAGAGTACTGTGCTGAACCTCCCAATGCAAGCTCCCTGCAGGAGGCTGCTCTGTTTGGGCACGGGCAGAAAACTTCAGACACCTGAGACCACAACAACTCTGTACGAGGGCCAGCCCTAGTTCAGCATGCCCAATGCTGAAGTAATACTTACAGAATCAGCTGATTTAAGTGTTTCTTTAAAAGGAAGCTTAAAACTGAACCTACGCTACCCTTTTTCATCATTTAAGAAACAGTAGAAAATACATATCATATAGTATCTACACTACCACTCAACATCTTTGTAATAAGGAGCTGATTGTATGTTATTATTTTTCTTATTTTTGCAATAAAAGCAATTTATTAGAATTTCTCAGTCATTTTAGAAAATTCTACAATTAAAAACTTCCTTCCCTTCTTTTTTCCCCCCTCTCTCCCATCTTTCATGCTTTATATTCTTGCTACTTACTGTGGTATGTGAAAGAATAGAGCCACCTGGTAGAGTCGCAGCAGAAGTAGCACTAACAGGCGTAGCAGTTGATTGAACAACTTTGGCTTGCACTGGAAGTCCTAGGCGGACAGTAGATGTGGCTACAGAAGTTGGTTGCTAGTGAAGGAAAAACAAAGAATTTACTTTTTTTTTTGATCTTTATAACTCGATCTCCAAGCCTTTTACTACRAATGATTAAAGGAATTTACTATATGAGTATCTCTGCAAAAAGAAAAATCATATTATGCTCAACCATCTATGGTTCTTCAACAAAAAGATTGCAAAATCAGTTTTCTTATTGTTCGATGGTGAGATGTTTGCAACGATTAAAAAATTTATCCAGAGAAACAATATAAAAAGAAGATTTTCAAAATAAATTMGGATGAAATTATATGCCAACATCATACAGAAAATAACTCTATAAACATTCAGAACTCACACTATGTAAGTATCTTCTCTTCTGGAGGGACAGGCGAAGTCTATAGCCATTAATGTTTACTGACATTTCCAAGGAGAGAGTCAGTGGGTGTTATATGGTATGCATAGCCTTCAACAAATAAACTATATAGAGTATATTTGGATTATGGATTCCCTTATGCAGTAATTGCAGAACAATAAGGGTCAAAATACCTATATACARAGTTGCACGGGTATTAATAAAGTCATCCATTTTCTTCCTATTCACTACTGGTCTCACATGTTACACCCCCTTAAASTTGTGTTTGCTAAGATTTGCATCCAAACACATTAGAAAAACTCAGCTGGAGAAATAGATCATGGGCAAAATTGCTTGTCAATGAAAATAAAATCATTTTCCTTGATTCACATTTGTAGCTATACATCTCTATAATTAATATTTTTATCAAGAATGACTTATTTTAGCTTCTTAYACTGTACACTAAAACTACATAAAAAATCAAAGAACATCCAGTGTACCTAAGAGATCTCCAGAAGTAACAGAGGCCCAGACAGGCAGTCAAAGCCCCAAGCATTCCTTACCAATCAGTCCAGCAACATCATCTACTAGATATCAATCTTCTGCACTTGAGGGGGAAGAAATAAAAAAAATCTACCTGACATCTGAACAAAACCTTTCTGTTTGTTGTTTGGATAGCTTTCAAGATTTTTTAAATCTTGAGTTGGGATGTCTTCCATACTGAGGCAGCCTAGGGGCAATAAACAGCATCATCATGAATAGGTAGAACTGTCTCTTTTTTTGGAAGAAGGATCACATAAACTTTTTCTTTTTTWAAAATACATACTTTCCAATTCTAAAGGAAAACACTATTTTTATATTCCTTAAAATATTAGTTGAATGAAACAATATGCATCTAAAGCATGTTTGCACTTAAAATAAATATTGTATATATTAYTCATTTGCTTATGATCAGCGTTTCCAATCCAAGAATACAACATGCTTGTGTTCTGAATCTGTCCCCTTGTCAGTAACTGCTTCCAGAGGTGAGGATTTACAAAGAAAGCAGATAACCAGACAAACTTCTGGCAGCCATTCAGTTCCAAGAAAGACCTGCAGCCAGAAGTCTGCAAATATAAAGCTCAGGGAGCTAGAGAATTTTTCTCAGCTAATAAACATGTACAATTTATCATAGGAAAATACTTGAAAACAAAATGGCTTACAACTAAAATATACCATTTCAGTGTCATAACAGTGAATTTCTCAAAGTTTTAAGCACATTTCATACAGAGTATTTCACAGTACCAGAATACAAGAACCAACTGAGCAAAATAAAGACTGAATTCATTCTGTTTTAAAAAACACCAATGGCAAAACCCTTTGATGCAAAATTGCAGTAAAATCTATTCAGGTGTTATGCGGGAAAAAAATGCCTTACTACCCAAAATCTGCAAACTAATGCAACAGTTTACATATGTAGTTCCAAAACTTGTGTTAAAAAGATAAGTATGAACTGAGTGGATCAAAAACTTAACAAGGAACTATCCTAGGGAAAGGCATAATTATCATGGAAATGATCTGCAAATAACAGTGATAAGTTCCGAGAAGGCAATATAAGCGACTCCCAACACAAACTCATCAACAAAACTAGGAAAATCCATGATACAGAAACCAACAATTGAATATTCCAGGAGAAGACAAAGTGGCAAACATCTCATGAAAAACTCATGGGAAAGAAAAAAAAAAATGTTCAACATTACATGCAAGAAGGGGAGAAAAAATAAACAAACAAAATTCCTAAATAAACAAACAAAATTCCTAACTCAAAATTTGCTAAAGTTTGGCATGGTGCTGTTGACTGAATTCCAAAATTATCAACAGAAGCTTGGAAAGTAACATATTTTCAAACGCAGCTATACTGTTTCTTTACCAGATGCATCACATTTTTCTGTTTCCTAAATATTTAAATTAATGTTTAAGAAGACTTTTTGGTATACTTGGGAATCAAAAGGCAGRACAAAAGAGCATGAATGAATACAGCAGGTACTCCACAACAAATCCCTGAGCCTTTTGCATACAGACCTCAGCTCGCTCTGTCCACACAGAGAATCTAGATGCTCCAAGTGGTGTATAGCTCAAAAGTGGAAATCAGGCTTTAAGGCGGGTCTGGCTCATGTCTGGCCAGCTTGGAAAGCGGATATACCAAGGGTTATTCCGGCTGCACAAGCCATGTGGATAATGCAAAGTTACTTCGGTTTCAGGGCGGAGTAAGTCACTTCGCACAGTGGCRGTCAGTGTCCATTACAACTGATCACACTGATCGCACACAGTGTCAGTTTGGAATTAYTCCACATACAGTTAATTCACTCTCCAAATAGGTACCTCTTAACTTGCCTGTGTAGAGCCTCTCCCCAGAGCCATGGTCACAGGAACAGAGAGGCAAAGTTCAAGGCACAAACAGGAGCAAATAAACATTGTACCTGCCATGCACACACAGGCTTACTTTAGATTTGAAAGTATTATAAACACACAGACTGTCTTTGAAAAAGCACTCCTCCGGAACAGGGACATATTACCCCAAAATATCTAGGGATAACATGCTATTGCCAAGGCCAGACTATACCAGTTTTAGGTACTGTACCATGTATTAACAGCTTTATGAAAATGCAGGCAGTTTGAACTTCCACAGGTTAATAACACCCATGTAAGTTAATCCTTACAAACAGATTCATGGCATACTCGTATTTGGTATTACAGTACCACCTACTGATGAAGACTATGGGTACCGCTCTGCTCAATATTAAGTGCTCAGCCTCTACACTTCAAAGCAAGAAATCTTACTTTTTGTCAAACATTACATGTACTTTTTACAAACCGTGCTGCCAGTCAGCTTAGTCCCTGATCAAAGGAGTGCAGGAAATACTTCAATTAGGAAAAGCAGGGACCATTTTACCAAGATCTCCATTCTGATCTTGTGTCTTTCAATACATGCCATCTGCCAGGTCCCACACAAAACTCAATTTCAGCAGAATTTGATCTCTAGATTTAGATTTGCAAGTCTGAAATAAAATACAGTGAAGATTCCTTACAAAACTGGACATCCTAACAGCATTTAACAAAGGGAAAAATCTAGGTCAGAATTATGGACAGTGGCAGAAGCATAAGGTAAAGGTCAAGTCTAGTAGTTCCTTTTAAGATAGACAATTCACACAATCTCTCTCATGGGTAAAGGTTGTAGCACCACTTATTATGAAGGTATCAATACTTCCCACTACCAAAATCCGTTTTCTGATACCTCCAATTCTGTTAGACTTCTAAAATGTTAACTGTCAAAAAAGTCAAATGCTGTGGACTGCCTCAGACT